GGAAGACAGTGTGCTCGAAGCAGAGTGAGCCAAGGAGAGAGGAGCAAGGAGGGAATAAGGGAACAGAAAGTGAGAGGGAAGTGGAGGAACATCCGGCAGGGCCCTGGAGGCTGTGGTAAGGGCTGAGATTTTATTCCTAAAGGAGTGGGAGGCCCCTGGAGACATGCTAATGGTAGTGATGTGATCTGTTGGAGGACTTCACAGAACCGCTTTGGCAGCCGTGTGGAAGTGACTGTAGACCACCTAGTAGATAAGACTTTTTCCACAGTCTGTCAGAAAGGTGCTGGTGGTAGGCTCTGTAGCAGTGGTCTTAGATAATGGAGGGAAGTGGATGGAGGTTTTAGAGTAGAGCCAACCAGACAGGCTGGTGGCCTGGATGTGATGAGGAAAGGAGGAGTCAGAGATGACATCTGGGTTTTCAGTTGGAGCACTCAAGGAGATAAATGATGTCATTTACCGAAGAGAGGGAAGATTTTGGGGGTGGGAAAAGGGCAGGGTGGAAAGTGGAGTTCTCTTGACCATGCTTATTCCATTTGAGATGTGTATAAGCCATCCAGATGGCGGCGTCTAGTAGCAGTTGGATATATGAGTCTAGACAGAGCTCAGGAGCCATCTGGGCTAGAGATGGAAATGTGGAAGTCATTGGTATGTAGAAGTTGGGGAGCATGGGAGAAGGGAGACACCCAGGGTACTGTGAAGGTGAAACACTTTGTCACAGTACACGAGTTCTGCTGTCGGACTCAGTCCTCAAAACGGGGAGAGTAGCAGGAAAGTAACTGAACACATTCCCTCCTGTTTAGGGTCTGGTTTCAGGCAGAGAGCCTTCATTCTACATTTGCCTGTGAAGATCTGCACGCGTGCCCATGTGTCCATGTACTTAAACCCAGTCCTTCCTAGTATGCTGGCCTGGGGTCTCCAAAGTACATGATGGCCTAGATGTGGGTATTGGTCTATGTGCTAATTGGAAGATTGGAGTGATCTGAATCCTGAGAAAGATTTAGGGCCTACACACAAAAAATCTATTCTTTCAAACTAGTCAGAGTCCATGGAGCCAGGTATGATTTTAAAACTACGTTATTTTGAAGTATATAATGGTATAAGTTGTATGTTTGCAGTGTATTTTACAAACTTTAAAAAAAACTCAGTGGTGGGGCAGCCGGGTGGTGTAGTTAGTTGAACATTCAGCTCTTGATTTTGGCTCAGATCATGATTTCACAGTCCATGGGTTCAAGTCCTGTGTTGGGCTCCGCGTTGACAGTGAAGAGCCTGCTTGGGGTTCTCTCTTGTGTTCCTCTCTCCTCCTCCCCTGTTCTCTCTCTCTTTCTCTCTCTCTCTCTCTCTCAATATAAAGATAAAGAAACTTAAAAAAAAACCAAAACAACTCAATAGTAGCTAAGTAGTTCATAGTAGCTTATCATTTCTTTTTCATATTTTGATATAAATCAATCTTTTACCTTTCTGCATTTGGGCAAGTTTTATATGTTAATTTGTAGATGGGCTCATTATAAATTTATGCTTTAAAAAAATTCAGAAACATACATACTGTCTCTCACAAAAATTATTTCATTTTCTCTGTTGCCACAACATTCCACATTCTGTTCCTGTTGCTAAGGCCTCTGGAATGTTCCAGTGCAGAAAAGGGATATAGAACTCCTTTTTTTTTTTTTTTTTTTTTTTTTTTTTTTTTTTTTTACTCCTGGAGACATTTTATTTAAATTATTTTGTGTCTTCTGGCTTACTTTCCAAATATGGATATCTGAAAGTAAAGAATTTAGAAAGCTAAAATTAAAGTTGCTTTAGATTTTCGTAACAGGAATTTGATTTCTTAGGGTAGCATGAACTGGATTTAAGTATGCCATGTTTCTTTCCATGGGGATTATGTGTGCATGTGTGTGCATGCGCTCATGGCACACGTGCACACACGAGTGCAAATTTTAGGGAGTGTGATGAGGTAGCTGGTGAGATATTCTGAGCTCACAGAGAGAGTACACTTGAGTTTGAGTCCTGCTTGCGCTTTTTTGCTGGGTGACAATAGACAAGTTGATATTGCCTTTAGTAAAGTGAGGATTATATTGTAGGATAAACCATGTAATAAGTGCTTACATGTGCCAGGGCTTGTCAAATAGCAGTCTCTCAGTAAAGGCCAACTGTTGATCATCATGATTACTGTCATCATCGATTGCAAATGATCTTAAGTTATTGAGGAAATTAAAGTTTTTACACAAGTACAGATTCCTGGTCCCTTACAGAATGACCCCTGCCTTCTTAATTTTACTAGTGTTTCCAAGTCTCACAACAGGATCAAAGGAATCAGAGTAAAAACAGTTTCCTATATAAACACTATTGTGGCCAGTTGAATTGTTACTACTTGAAAAGATTGGCACAGGTTTTAATTTGTAAAAATGGCTTTATTTATAAAGGGTAGGGGGGCTAGTCCCCAGAAGTATCTGGTATCTGGCAAAGTGATATATTTGAAACAGCATTGCTTGACATTGAGTGCTGTGGGAAGCCACACAAACCAGCATGCAGAGGCCTAACTCTAAACTGAGACCATTTGACTTAATGCTGTTTTAACTACTGTTTTAATTAATAAAACTAAATGAGCGAATTTCATTAATGAAACTGTTGATTTGATATTTATAGACATTTCACACTATAAATTATGAATGCCATATTAGTTCTGTAATTCAGATTTTCTTTAATTTGTCCTGTATTGGAGGCATGTAGCACAGGGGTACATGGAACTTAAGGAAAGTACTTAAAATACATAATTTTATTTTTAAATGAAATGTCATGTCAAGAAATTGTAGCCATGGAAAATGGCTTATTATATGTTGATCATTGCATGGATATAACCTTTCCTTTTCTCCCACATGTACTATTTTTAACTCAATGTGGGCATGCTTTCAAGGAAAATAGCACATTGTTTGGTTTTTATTTTTCATTAAATTATTAAGCTTAGTCACAGAAGTCAGTAGTCTACTAGAAGCTTCTTACATTATCAGTCTATCAAAGGTGTTCAGCTCTGACATTCCAACTTATTGGAGGTGGAAACTGGAAGGAATTTCTAGAAATCACGTTCCTCTGATCTTCAAGGGACTAAATCCAAGCCATTGTTATGAGTCAGAATGGAATCCCAGCTATTGACGTAGACGAAGTACTTCATCTCCCTGTGAATCAGTTTCCTCGTTTTTTAGAGTGGGGTTGTAATGGTATCTACCTAGACAGTTGTGAGAAAAGAATGAGATAATAGCACCTAGAAACTGTTCAGTGCTGCCACCGCATCCCAGAATCTTGTTGGTCCCTGGTATATTTCAGATTTATAGCTGTCTGTGCAGTTTAGTGTAATAGAAACTGTCTTAAGAAAATCTGAGCTATATCCTTACGTAGATATTAGGTCAGTAATTTGATACTTGTGAGACTATGATCACTTTTACATCTCCCCAGGGCATTTTCCTGTAAAGCTACCAAGATCACCCAAGCTGGAGGAAGTGTGAAGTTCAATCTTACAGGAAGGAAAACAGATGCTAATTAGATAATGGATCTTTTTCCCCCCCTTTAAACTTGGTATTTGGTCTCCTAAACTATTTGCCTAATTTTGAAATGTGCTAATTAATCCATTCATTGCAAATATTCTAAATAGTGTAAAAAACCTGTTTAAAATCACCAGTTGTCTTCTTTTAAGTAATCTCTTTGGCCAACATGGGGCTCAAACTCACAACTCTGAGATCAAGAGGCTCACGTTCTACTGACTGAGCCAGCCAGGCACCCCTAAAATTGCCAATTTTGAAATACTTAAACGATTAGATTCTCGATCTGAAATGTTAGCGCTATCCCTACCTAGATTGTTGTTAATAAGTAACGATTCATGGTTATGACACTTTAGTTAGCCATGTATTACCAGATGTCTGGGGCACCTGGGTGGCTCAGTCAGTTAAGCATCTGACTTCTGCTCAGGCCATGATCTCATGGTTCTCGAGTTTGAGCCCTGCATCGGGCTCTGTACTGATAGTGTGGAACCTGCTTGGGATTTTCTCTCTGCCTCTCCCCTACTTGCGTGCTCGCTCGCTCGCTCTCTGTCAAAAATAACTAAAAAATATGTATATACGTATATATGTGTATATATGTATATGCGTGTATATGTACATATAGGTATGTGTATGTATATATAGGTGTATATATGTGTATATATGTGTATGTACATACACACACACACACACACATATATAAATTACCAGATATCAAGTCACTTTCAGTTTTTGTGTTTATGCAGATAGTTTAGTTTCACGTTTGTGTTTTAATTAAGTACTTAACTGTAAAAAAAAAAATCCAACTTGTATCTTGCCTTGTTCTAGTAAATGAACTGAGATTAATATATGAAATATTGTGTTTGTACACAAGTTCCATGTGTCCAGGAGCATCAGTATGTAAGTGAAAGGACTAGAGGTTCTTGTGACCTGAAAAAAGAGTATAAAAATAATTTTCTTTGTATTATACTCTGACCAAACCAGCAGTTTTACTCTTCAGTGAAGCCTCTGCTTCCTTTCTTAACTGTTCCATGGAACTCAGAGACCAGATGGCTGGAATAGAATGCGTAGTTAAACAAATAAAACCATTAGATGATAGAGCTTTGTGAATCGTTAAGCATTTTATGTGGTTGCAGATTCTTCCCCATAATCCTTGGTCGAGTTCATGTAAAGTTGCTTTATTTTATGAATGTATTAATTGTTTGCATTTTAGTAGATTTGTCTCTTTCGCCTCAAACTGATGATTTTTGGTGCCTTTTATTTGAGCTCTCTGGACAGTGTTTCTGTAAGTCTGATTTGATTTCTCTCTTAATAGTCACGGTGCCACATCAGGTATTTTTAAATGTTACTGCAGTAACGCTTGTACTGCTACACTTCATCTTAAGGCAGCTCCTTTAGAATGTACTGCTGCCCCAAATGGATTCCTATTAATCAGAACCAGATGAGTGAGTGATGCTCTCTTCTTTGTTGCAGACATGCCAATATTTGGTCTCTGTCCAGCCCACGATGATTTCTACTTGGTGGTGTGTAACGACTGTAATCAGGTTGTCAAACCGCAGGCATTTCAATCACATTATGGTAAGTGCTTAACCATTTAAAAATCATTACGAGAGGGTAAAAGGTAAAGCAGGATTAAGCTGAAGGCCAGTGACAGCATGGATACAGTATAATATCCCTCCCTCTGTCAAGAAGTAGGCTTTCTAATTCATCGAGTGGGTTAATGTCTCTCAGATGTTGGGTATTTTCTGAATTTTATTGAAATTGGACAAGGAATAATGTATTTTATGAAAACTCTTTTGAAATATTGAGTCCGTATAGTGAAAGGTTTATTTCCTTCTAGACCTCACCTCATGGTTGTGAATTCACTGGCTGGTAAAATTTGATATATATATACATAGTATGGATACATGCCTTTTTAAAATGAAATGTGATTTTGAAACTTCCAAGTTCAATAATTCTAAATACAGCGTGACATCGTGTTCTAATCTGTGAATGTGAGGAAGCTATCACATCTTATCCATTAAAATGCACACGTACTTAGAATGAAATGAAGCATTGCAACTTGAGGGATTTCATGAACCCCTGAGCCATCCCTGGGCTTCAAGACTCCATGCCTGCTGTCTGGGTGTTTAATCATGGAACAATCCAGATAAGATGGTTTTGCTTTGTCATAATGCCACCTAAAGTGCTTACAGTAGAAAAAAATTTAATGAGAAGATGTAGTTTTTTACCCAGTTGGATTCAATAGCAGCTCAGAAGTATTTGAATGACCACCTTGTTTCAGGCACTTTGATGTATAATAAGATTCTTACGTCCATGGGGTTTATAATTTAGCTTATGAGACCAGCAAAATTAGCTAGACATACTTTTTAAATAACTTTAAGTTGTTTCCTCATTGTCCTTATTACTACAGATATGAGCTTGAGACACAATAATAATGACATCCCCTGTAGATAGTGTTTAAGTAAAGCTTCTGGGGAGGTGACCCTGGTGACTTGAGCTTTAAGTGATGGGACAGAGCCACCAGCGTGGCATTTGGGAATTAAAGCATTCTTATACAGCGGGACAAGCTGAGGTACAGACTGAAAGAAGCTCACTGTAGGTGGAGGGAGGTCAGTGAAGGTAAGTACACACTAGAGAAGTTTGCCCTTGTGGGCAGGGACCCTGATCGTGCACAGCCTTGGAGGTCAGAGTCAGAAGACCCTTGGGGGGCACTCTAGGGCTTTCCTGTGTAAGGACGTAACACAGGCCCACCACACTGGTTAATTTGGTGTGAATAAATTGTAGAAGGGGAGAAGCAGGGAAAATAGTTCAAAGGTAAGACATGATAATAAACTAAGACTAAGGTGTGGAAATAGAGCTGGGGAAGACAGCATAGCATTGAAAGGCATTTTAAAGCTAGCACCTACATGGCTTGCTGTTGGGACAGTCGTTGTTATAAGAGTCACACCATCATATCCACATCTCACCATTTTTCCCTCCAAGGAATAAATTTTTTATGTAATCATACAAAGGTTTTTTTGAATTTCTGATTCTGAGTAGAAGCCCTGGGGTGAGCACTAGAGTGAGTACAAAGATGAATAAGATATTATCTTCCTGATGTAGACTTGTGGAGGTTAGTATTAGAAAAGGCAGTTAGTCAATTGCCACATATTTTGGAGTTAAGGATTTTGAAGCCAAACTAGACTGGATTTAAATTTAAACTTGGGGGACGCCTGGGTGGCTCGGTTGAGCGTCCAACTTTGGCTCAGGTCACGACCTCACGGTTTGTGAGTTCGAGCCCCGCGTCGGGCTCTGTGCTGACAGCTCGAAGCCTGGAGCCTGCTTCAGATTCTGTGTCTCCCTCTCTCTCTGCCCCTCCCCCTGCTCGGGCTCTTTCTCTCAAAAACTGAATAAACGTTAAAAAAAAAATTAAAATGTAAACTTGGAAGAAGCCTAAGTTGGTTGTTTTGCCTTGTGCAGATTTTCCAACCTCAGCTTCCTTTGTTGTAGTGTCGGAATGGTAACAGCAACCTCATAGGTTCTCGGGATTGATTAAATGAAACAACATAGGTAAAGCCCCTCATACAGCGCCTGACACATAATAGGTACAAGAGAGAGAGATAAAAGTACAGCTGTGGATTTAGAAATGTTTGTGTCTAAAGTAAAAAAAAACGGTGCAAGGTCTTAAGAATAAGGAGGAACACAGATTGCTTCTCAATGAGACAGCTTCTTAGAGAAAATTGCCTTCTGGTTAGGGTATTCTGAAGAGTAGAGTGGATCTGTTGTCACATGTGCACAAATGTTTTTCCTCAGTTTTTAGGTGTGTGATACATGTCCGTTGTGGAAGATGCAGAAAATCGTTTTTAAAAAATCACCTATAATCCCCTAAAATGGGAAGTGTTTCGATGGGGATAGATAGATAGGGCTGCCACATACAACTTCACAGTCTGTACGCTGAACGGCCATACTTGGTGGCCCCAGGTTGGCAGTAGCCGTGATGTGAGCAGGCGCAGAGGCAGGAGATTGCCCGCTGTCTGGGATGTACTGCAAGGAGTCTCCATCAGCCGGAGCTGATGGAGCCATGTGTGGGTGAGCAGTGTGCAGAGACAGGCTGGGACGCGCTCAGAGAGCCCCAGTGCCCGCCCATTAGACACCCCTGGCCTCAGTGCAGACCTGCTGCAGGTTTTTCTAGCACCAGAGTGATGTGACTTCATGATCCTCCAGGGAGGATTGGTGGGCAAAGTGGATTGAAAGGGAGTGAGAGAGGAAATGGGAGTATGAAAACAGCTGGCTTGGCTCAAGGCCCACTTAAAGGTGTTACCTCTGCCAGGACTTCCTTAGCTAGAAAGGGTCCCTCTTGGTCCCCTCTTCCAGAGGCACTGCACACAGTTGTTCCAGCACATCTTATGGAGATGATTTTCTTTTTCGTTTTCTTTTTTAAAAAAAAAAAATTTTTGGGGCGCCTGGGTGGCGCCTGCTGATTAGGTTGGCGCGTCGACTTCAATGAGTCTCGCGTCTCATGGGTCACGTGGGACCCCAGCGTGGTCGGGCTCTGGGCTGATGGCTCAGAGCCTGAGCCTGCTTCCCATTCTGTGTCTCCCTCTCTCTCTGCCCCTTCCCCGTTCATGCTGTGTCTCTCTCTGTCCCCAAAATAAATAAAAAAAGTTGAAAAAAAAAAAAGAGATTTTTTTTTTTAGCATTTTATTATTTTGAGACAGAGAGAGACACAAATAGGAAGAATCAGAAAATGAAAATCCAAGCTCAAAAAAAGGCTCTGGGGCGGATGTCTTCCTGAGCGCCTTGACAGCCTTAATCAATTCTAGGCTCAGGAAAAGAAAGCAACTGCTCATTAATCCTGTTTTTCTCTTCCCATTTTTAATGTTTATTTTGAGAGAGAAGAAGAGAGTGGCCCAGTGCTATACAGAAGAGCACACATCAACAGGGGAGGGGGGGCAGAAAGGGGAGAGACAAGAGACCTGATGCAGGCTCAGGCTCCAGCTATTGGCTGAGCCCATTGTGGTTATGGCCGGACCCATGACATGTGAGATTGTGACCCTGAGCTGAAGTCAGACACTTAACACCATTGAGCACCCAAGCCCCTACCTGGAGATGATATTCTTGATCTCACTCTCTCTTTAAGAATGTCAATATATTGAGGGGAAATGGCCTGGGTGAAGCAGTGGGTTCAAATCAACTCCGGGTCTTGATCGATCACGTCAATTCCGACACGCGTCGGAAACTCTGGAAGGCGACGCTTCTAATTCTGTGTCTCCCTTCTCTGACGATCCCGTTCACATACTCTCTGTGTCTCCAAGAGTAAATAGCGTTAAAAAAAAAAAATTAAAAAAAAAAATGAACATCAATATATTGGGGCGTCTGGGTTGCTCAGTCAGTTAAGCATCTGACTTCGGCTCAGGTCGTGATCTCACAGTTTGTGAGTTCAAGCCCCGCGTTGGGCTCCGTGCTGACAGCTCAGAGCCTGGAGCCTCCTTTGTGCTGTGTATTCTCTTAAGCTCTCTGCCCCTGCTGCAGATCCCCTGCTCAGCTCTGTCTCGAAAATAAATAAAATGTTAAAAAAATTTTTTTTAAAATGTCAATATATTGGGGACAGGGCATGAAGGAGTGTCATAAAATCATATTTCTACCCTTTTTCTCTAACAGTGTCTAGTACACCAAGTATCTTTTGATAAGATACTTGTTGAAGGAGAAAGGAAGGGTGGTCATTTCAAACATGTAAATGAGAAAATACGAATGCAAGGTTCATAGACTCAAAAGTCTTATGTGACAGGCAAGGGGTGGGACTGATAAAGCCACTGGGTGGTGGACCTTGGTCCGTCTAGTGGCAAGGGAAATATTAAAACTGTAAGAGAGAAGAGTCCCTGGCAAAAAGATGGGACCCAAGTGTTCTGAGAGAGGGATTCAGCTGGGAAATGTTGAAGGAGTTCTGAGACAGCACCAGGGAGAAGGCTAATGGAGAATAAATGGGAGGTTTGGCCCTGTGTGGGTGTGTAGGGTTGGGAGCAACTGCATGAAGTTGAGGGAGGCACCATGTGATGACCCTGGAGTAGTTTGGGACTGACACCCCCACTCACCTGGAGAGAAGGAGAGGTGGGCAGTGCCCTAGTACCAAGAAGCATTTTCACTGTGGCCAGTGTCTTCTTCTATCTTTGGGATAGGGGTTGTAACAGGAAAAAGGGTTTTTTGGAACCCGTGTGGTCTTTTGTTAGAATTCTAAAAGGCACATTCTTAATGTGTTAACACCAAAAATAGTTTTCAAATTCAAGATCCTTCCCTGTGGCCATTGTAGTCTGTTTATTAGGTATTTGGAAGAATCCATAGCTGCCAATGGAAGGATTCTGTTTTCTTATCTTTTAGTGAAGTTGATGAAAATGTGTGGGCAGTCTTCTGTGAATTAAGGTGTTGGTAGTAGTCATCTGTGACTTGTATGAACAAGTGAGCAGTTGCTACAAAATCAAACAGGCATTTCCTTTAAGAGCATGGCTGCCAGGGGAGAGAAGAAAGCTACAATAGCAACAAGGCTTGTAAATCAGTTCCTGTTGGTGGTAATGTTCTTGGGAACTGGTGAGAAGCTTATT